GAGCGTCGGCTGCGCCCGCTGCAAGCACGTGCACGCCGCCCTGCGCTTCCAGGGCGCGCTGCGCCGCAACCGCTGCGCCATCATGTAACGCCGCGCCCCACGGGCCGCAGCCCCGGCAGGCCCGGGCGGGGAGGGGCAGGAAGAGAACTCCTGGACCGCCCCCGCAGCCACGCCCTCCCCGGGAGAGGCGGAAGGCGAGAGGGAGCTTCCCCTTTGCTCCTCGTCCTCCCCGGTCTCCCGCGTCTGTCTTCCTGGGACGGCCGCCTTTAGTGCTGTAGTTCGTGCAGAGCCCGGCCGGGCCCCTAGGAGCGCCGCCGCCCCTGGGGGTTGGGGGTGAGCGCGTGACACGGAGGGCAGGGGTGGAGAGGTGCTGTCTTGACCGGGCGCGCACCCGTCACCTCCAGAGAGTGTGTCTGTCATTGTTCCGCGTCTTCTTTTCCCGTGTCTGTCTGTCTGCCCAAGCGTCAGTTGGTCCTCAGCTGTCTTACCCACCCTCGCCACCTCCAGCTTCGTTCACAGGGCTCTCATTTTATCCACCCCCTGTCGCAGGTCCCGGCAGCACCTCTTCGTGAGGCCAGCCTTCTGACCGTCAGCACCACCGGCACGGGGCGGGGCGATGCGGGTGGCCCAGGGACCACAACCGGGGTCCGAGGGTTGAGGTCCTGGATCAGTCAGGGGGAGAAGGCAGAGCTCCCCCCGATTCCAGGGACACCTCCCTGCCCAACAGCCCCAAGAGACGCAACAAGCTACCTTCCAGCCTTAACTCGATGGTCCGTCCCTGCCGGGTGCCCCTCACCCACTTCCTGACCCTAAAGTCAGATCACGCCCTGGGTTCACCATTTTTTTCTTGACCGAGTGTGGAGAGGGAATGCCCCCAAATGATAGATTTATTTCCATGATGCCAGCTTCCAGCCCTCTGTCCCCTTCTGGGTTGAGTGGTCTGCCAGACTGGAGGATGTTTGGGGGGGAGGGGGGTGTCTGGTGGTGGGCGGGGTGTGGAGGGAGGCAGTCAGGTCGTGCCAGGGAAGACTCTCCCCATCTGACCCCAAGCTGACTGCCCCAGACCTTGCCCGCCTTGAATCTCAGATTACCCCGATTAATCTGGGGAGGGGCAGAGCCGGGAAAAGAATTACGGGAACCCCTATGCTTGGGGGAGATATACCGGCATCCCCACCCCTGGATGGAGGCCCTCAGGATCTGATGCCCCCTCGTCCCAACACCGGTTGGCCCCATGCCTTGACTCACTGCGCCCCATTTTCTCCGGCTGCCTGGCCAGTTTCTACCTCTTGTCACCGGAGCTGATCACTGTCAGTTTTGTACCGAATTAGAAATAACAAAAGTAATGAAGATACTAGGAGTGACCTGCGGGATTACTGGGGGATTTGGAGGGCGGGAGAAATGGTGCGAGTCCCCGGCCGCCTAGCCGAGTTCTCGCTGAGGCTGAGCCCTCAGCCCTTCTCTGGTGGGAGGATAGCAAGGTCCCTTGTTAGAAGAGAGACGGAGAGAACAGCCTAGCCTCGATGTAGACAGGCTGTGGCGTATAGACCAGGAAACCAGGTAGCTCAGGGTGGTGATGGAGAGGAGTCTGGGGGAGGCGTCATGGGTGGCAAACTTCTCATCCAGATCCAGCGTGAGAGGGAAGCTTCCGATGCTCTCTTCTGCTTCCCCAGGTGATTCCCACTCTGCTCACTGGGGGTAACGCAGCCCGACAGTGACTGCCCTGACCTTGGGCAGTCCAGTATTTTGGGGTTCTGGTCCCTGCTGTGCTGCATGACTTTGGGCAAGTGACCTGCCCTCTCTGAGCCTCCCTCTGAAGCAGAGGAGGTGGCTCCCCTCCCCCCCACACCTTGGAGTGGCTGGGAGGGTAAGGAAGAGGGGCTGCCCCCCTTTATCCCCTGCATCCCTGCCCCCTGACTCACCAGGGGGATGGGGTGAGTGGTGACAGCATCTCACCTGCCCCATCACTGTCACCCCCAGCTCTGAGGCACCTGAGGTGAGGGTGAGGGACCCAGGCCTCTGGCTGCCCCCTGTGGGAGCCGTTGGAATGTATTGCCTGGCTGGCCCCCTTCACCCACCCTCTCACCCCTGCTTCACTCCAGATCTTTGATTTTGATTCCTTCCGCCCCCGTTTTGAGTGTCTGTCCTTCACCCTGCCCGCCCTTCCCCAGGGTTTCCCACCACAGGGTCTGGAAGTGTGTGTGACGCCCACTGCGCTGTGATCAGAAGTCAGATTAAAAATCAGGGAGTTTTCCCTCGTTTCTGTACCAAGGTGTTGGCTCAGTTCCTGCCGTGGGAAGGAAGGGACTCCCTGCAGGGTTTCTGCCTGCTGAGCTCTGGAGGGACAGTCTGGGTGATGAGGTGGCCTGAGTCCTAAAGCCCAGGCCCACCAGGAGAATGAAGGGAAAGGGAGAGAGCTGGGGACTCATCTCCTCTCCGCCTACCCCACCAAGTGATCAAAACCATTCAGAAGAGAAGCATAACATCTCCCTCTGCCATTTTCTTGGGAAGACTTTCAGAAGTGGACTCAATCCCAGCTTCTGCCTTTGTGTCTTCCTCCCACTCATGGCCGAGGCTCTGCAGCCCCCCGGCCCACACACCCATCATAACTCCAGGCGTGTCGATGTGTTACGGAATGTTCTCAGCCATCCCTCTTGACTCAGTGATCTCAGTTCCCAGCCCCCAGAGCAAAGTTTTGAAGTCCTGCAGGAGCCTGTGTGGGGCGACCTTGTCCCTGTCCATGATACTGATGCAGCAGCCTCTTCCAGAGAGAAGGGCTGTCTGGCAAGGTTGGCTGGGGCTGCAGAGGGGAAACCTCTCTCACCCCAGCTCCCTCCCCCGCTTCCCCTCCAGCGGGAAAATGCTGCTACACCTTCCTGCACCGTGGTGGTAGCGTGAAGGACTCAAGAGCTGGGGGTTCAGGGACAGACCCACTCATGTCTAATAACTTATAAGAACTGTGGAAATGGGCATGGCCGGAGGACAGAGCACAGGAATTTGGGGAGCTGTTCTGGGAGACAGTAGCCCTACCACCCTGGAATTGGGCTGGGACTCATGGGTTGCCCTCCTGCTCAACCGACCAGATGGAGCCTCTGTTTGTCTTCTAAACTGTCCTGGCCAAGGCCCTGTATTGAGGTGAGGGACCTTCCTTTCTGTTCCTGCATTTGGGAGTGCAACGAATACACGGGCATCTTTTCACTTCCCTCCTCCCCTATACCCACAGGCTCAGGGAGGGGAAGCGCCTTCTCACACCCAAGACTCCTCCTCAGGTGAGGCAGGGGCTTGATCAAGCTGCTGAGGCCCCTGGCCCTGCAAAGGCGGGGAGCTGCTCTCCAGTGGTGCAGCTGGCTCCTGCCTCTCCTTTCCCTCCCCCTTCTCCCCCGCCGAGGCTCCATCCCCCAGGGCTGCCTTCCCTCCACTGCTGCCCAGCACTGCTCTCACCAGCCTGCCCCTGGGGGGTGCCTTGGCTGGACCCAGGTGGAGGTAGGTCAAGGGCCTGGGGATTCGTGAAGGCTGCTTCTCAGGCCTGTGGTCACTCCGGGGCCGAATCCTGTGCCTGAGCTTCAGCTTGTAGATGGATGGGACTCTCCGGGGCTTCCGGAGTGTTCTCTTGCCCTTGCCTGGACATGCCTTGGCTTTATCAGAACTGGGGGCGGAGGGCGAAGGTGTGGAGGACTCTGGGGTGGCAGACACAGCAGGGGCTGAGCAGTCCTGCCCTCCTTGAGCTGGGACCTTCGTTGTCCTGGCACCCTTGGCACTTGGGCTTGCTTTTGTCCTCAGCCCACTCTCTTGGGCTCCCAGTTTCCCTTTTGGGCTTCCTGGGCCTGCACTTACAGCCGGCTTAGGGCAGCCGGTAGGGGCTGCCTTCCAGGCTCCCAGGTCCACCTTAAGGAGGGGTGGGGGGTCCTGAGCCAGTTCTTGGATGACTTTGTCATAAGGACCCCCAGGCTCAGGCCACTGCCCACCCAGACTGGGCACGTAGACTCCACTGCGAGGAACGACTCCAGATGCTGCGCCCTGTGGGCAGACACCGGCCACCGCTAGCAGCTTCGTGTTGGCCAAAAGCTGCTCCCCGAGGCTGTGGTAGATGGCTTGCTCCTTGACCCTACCCGAGGGCAGGGGAGTGCACCTCCCCTCCGGGTGCTGTGGGCCCAGGCCCCAGGGCTCTCCGGCCTCTGCTGTCACCTGGACGTCCAGCTTCTGGTCCTCTTGCCTCTCTTCCACAGAGCAGTCCCCATGTCTGGACCCAGACAGGTCCCCAGTGACGGCCCTTAATGGAATGGGCCCTCTCCCCAGTTCTGTCCTGGGACCTCCACTTGCAGTCCCTGGAAAGCTTCCTAGAGTCGGGGGGCAAGCTGGGGGCAACTGGACCAGGATCTTGGTGGGTCCTTTAACGGGGGATGGAGAATGGACAGATGCTGTCTCCCTAAGCTGGGAGGAGGCACCCTCAGCCTCATCCCAGGGTGGTGGCCTGGGGCCCACAGGCTTGGCTGGGCTGGAGGAACAAGGCAGGGGAGATGGTCCTCCTGCTGGTGTCCCTGTGGTAGTGGCCTCAGGGGCTTGGAGTCCCTGGGGGATGAGGGTCCTGGCACAAGTTGCCCAGCTGTCTGTCTCCTCATGAACCCAAGATGTGGGAGTCCTTCTCCTGGGGCGTTCAGGGGGGTATCTGTCCTCCCTCTTCCCTGAGGAGGTGCACTGTGTGTCTCGGCCCCTGGGAGTAGGTGAGGATTGGGGGCTCAGTGGGCTGTCCCCAGCTGGCAGCTGCCTCCAAGACGAGGCGAGTGACTTCTCCTGGCACCTGAAATGGAGAATCATAGGTCATCGGCCGGGTTATCTGACCCAGTCCCCTGGGCTCTGTGAAGGGATGGCCTTTCCCCAGCCAGAACCCCCAGGGGGTCAGACTTCATGTCGAATGAAGAAGATGCTCCCTCTCTCCCGTGCCTGCCAGAGACTCTTCCTTACAGCAGATACTGTTTAAGTCTGTCCTCCCCCATTCCTTGTGTAGCAGATAGAAAGCAGCCTGGTCTGGACCCCAGGTTGCTTCAGATCCCACAACTACAGGTCACCAGTCTTGGGTGGGGAGGATCTTAG